TTGGCCTGGTTAAACTTCATGATGTTGGTACGGGCCCACCTCTCCAGCCTGTCGAGGTCCCTCTGGATGGCATCCCTCCCTTCCAGCGTGTCGACGGCACCACACAGCTTGGTGTCATCGGCGAACTTGCTGAGGGTGCACTCCATGCCACTGTCCACGTCACCGACAAATATGTTGAAGAGGGCCGGGCCCAACATGGACCCCTGAGGGACGCCACTCGTGACTGGTCTCCACTTGGACATCGAGCCGTTGACCACTACTCTCTGAGTGTAACCATCTTACAAGCAGTTTCTCTCTCTCTACATATTTCTTGTTTTCGTAAGAACTAAGCCTTCCAAATAATGATTCCAGAGCCAACCTGTGACTTGAACTTCAAAAATTCTTGATGTATAAATATTTGAGTCTGATGACTATAACATGATCCAGTGTTACCGTGGCTACATTTGAACTTGGAAGGTAGAATATCTTACAGAACCCACAGATATTTAATTTTCCGAGTCTGGATAGCCACTGCACAGCTCCATATACCTTTAGTGCTTCTTCCATTGACTTTGAGCTTGAACAGGATGATGATACACACTTCCAGCAGGAAGCACACTGCGCTAGAAACATCATTTGCCCTGTTTGTCCTTTGGAAGGATCTAAAAGCTTTCCAGTGTCCTAGGCCTCAGTATTTTCAGCACTGGGCTGGCTGGCTGCCTGCTAACTGGTTTGTCCATGGCTTTAAGGCAGATATTAGGTTTTACCTGCTGCTTTAAGCAAGAGTAGCAATGCTTTCTGGTTTAAAGTACAAACATTCACACATATAAATATTGTCTCTGTTTTTTACAGTGATACACGCCATGTTGATTGGGTGAAGTCATACCTGAACATCTGGTCTGAACTTCAAGCTTATATCAAAGAGCATCATACCACAGGTCTCACCTGGAGTAAAACTGTAAGTACTCTTTCTTTTTTTTCATGGAGAACCGCAAAATGCCAGTAACCAATTTGACTTTTAACGCAGGTCATTAGCTCAGGAAAAATAAATATCTAGACCAGGAAGAGAAGTCATGGCTTCCCAACTAAGCTGATAAAAGTTGGAAAGGCAGGTGAAGATGTGTCAGGCCATTGTGGTACATGTTTTGAGGTGATTATAGCCATAACACCCAGCTGCAGATGGTGAGGAGAAGCAGACACAATTCTCCAGGCCTTCTACAGTAGAAGATAGGAACAAAAATAAACCCCCAAAATTAAAGGAAATGTCAGACTAAAAGAAAATTGGGGGAACATAGAATCATGGAATCATAGAATGGTTTGGGCTGGAAGGGACCTTAACGATCATCTAATTCAACCCCCCCTGCCATGGGCAGGGACACCCTCTACTACACCAGGTTGCCCAAAGCCTCATCCAACCTGGCCTTGAACACTTCCAGGGATGGGGCAGCCACAGCTTCTCTGGGCAACCTGTTCCAGTGCCTTACCACCTTCTGAGTGAAGAATTTCTTCCTTATATCCAATTGAAATCTCCCCTCTTTCAGTTACAAAGCCATTGCCCCATGTCCTATCACTACATGCCCTTGTAAAAAGTCCCTCTCCAGCTTTCCTGTAGGCCCCCTTTAGGTACTGGAAGGCTGCTATAAGATCACCTTGGAGCCTTCTCTTCTCCAGGCTGAACAGCCCCAACTCTCTCAGCCTGTCTTCATAGCAGAGGTGCTCCAGCCCTCGGATCATCTTCGTGGACCTCCTCTGGACTTGCTCTAGCAGTTCCATGTCCTTCTTATGTTGGGGACTCCAGAGCTGAACACAGTATTCCAGGTGGGGTCTCATGAGAGCAGAGTAGAGGGGCAGAATCCCCAACCTCAACCTGCTGGCCACGCTCCTCTTGATGCAGCCCAGGATACGGTTGGCTTTCTGGGCTGCCAGCACACATTGCCGGCTCATGTTGAGCTTCTCATCAACCAGCACTCCCAAGTCCTTTTCCTCAGGGCTGCTCTCAATCCATTCTCCGCCCAGCCTGTACTTGTGCATGGGATTGCCCCGACTCATGTGCAGGACCTTGCACTTGGCCTTGTTGAACTTCATGAGGTTCTCACAGGCCCATCTCTCCAGCCTGTCCAGGTCCCTCTGGATGGCATCCCTTCCCTCCAGCATGTCCACAACACCACACAGCTTGGGATCACCTGCAAACTTGCTGAGGGTGCACTCGATCCCACTGTCCATGTCGCTGACAAAGATGTTAAACAACACAGGCCCCAGTACTGACCTCTGAGGAACATGACGGACGAAGGAGAATGGTGGAAAGAATCTGAATAAAGAGAAATTTAATAACAAGAAAAAGAAACACAAAGGATACATACCAGTTTATTACTTCATAGATAGCTGTCTTTGTAAAACCATTATTTCATGCATAGAGAAATAATTTTTGAAATACATATATAGAGAGTAAATATAACTGTATGCATAACTATCTATGCTCTCTCTATATATATGTAAACATCTTCTGTATGTTACATCTGAGATGCCTAGCAAGATGATGGCAATGAATATTGTTCTTTAAGAAAGGTATAAACATGAAGAATTAATTTTCTGTTGGGCATAAATGTCAGAGTTTACATCCACTGTCTACATTGATGCAATACATCATTCTAATAATGCGCTCATGTTTATTGTCAGGTTAGGAGAATTACTAAAAATATAATCAGCCAGCTCTTTGTGGTTATCATCTCTTAAATTTACCAGTGCATGGCACATGCCGTCTTTCATACCAAGTTTATAATTTCTTCTGTATAAGCAAGTAATTTTTTAAAAACTGAATGACTATTCAGAGGACTAATGTAGGCTACCAGATAATTTAATTCCCAGACCAAACCACTGTAAGAACTCAGGAATATAGGGAAGTGAAGTAAAGCTTTTGTATAGAATGTATCTTAATGTGGAAAAGGGCTGAAACATCTCTTCTATGCAGAAAGGCTGAGAGAGTTGAGGTTGTTCAGCCTGGAGAAGAGAAGGCTCCGAGGGGACCTTATTGCAGTCTTTCAATGTATGAAGGGGGCTTATAAGAAAGATGGAGAAAGATTTTACCAGGGCCTGTAGTGACAGGACAAGGGGCAACAGTTCTAAACTGAAGGAGGATAGATTTAGGTTGGATATAAGGAAGAAATTTTTTACAATGAGGGTGGTGAGGCACTGGAACAGGTTGCCCAGAGAAGTTGTGGCTGCCCCATCCCTGGCAGTGTTCAAGGCCAGGTTGGATGAGGCTTTGAGCAACCTGGTGTAGTGGAGGGTGTCCCTGCCCATGGCAGGGGGGTTGGAACTAGATGATCTTTGAGGTCCCTTCCAACCCAAACCATTCTGTGATTCTGTGATACTTTCTCTCTGCCTAATGGAGGCAACAACCATGTAAGAGAATGTATGTTACCTGTGCTCAGCAACGGACTATGCCACTTTCTCTTCACACCCTTCATTAGACACTGTACAAGTCCTTACAGTACTCAAGTATTCAAGTGCAAGTTCAAACACAGGAGACCATGATCTGTGTCTACTTCTTAGTTTGAAGCAATGCAAAAACGTTTAAACATGATAAATTAGAAAACGGGAATTATCTGCTGCTTTGTAGGTTTCTGTAGTAAAAATTTAAAATATTAAACATGAGTCTCTTCCTTAATTTAGTACAAAATTGCACACTTGCTACATCCTACTCTATTTTAATCAGTGAATGTGAAAAGAGCTAATGGTTTTTAAATTAGTAGATAAGAAAAAGAAATTTTAGTACCCTGTTAGCAGAATTAGCCTGAGAATCTGGGGCAACTTTAGTATTGTTAATACAGAGAAAGAATCATCTTCACCTTTAATGGAACTTTACAAGTATGGAAATAGTATTGTAAGATAAAGATTTGTTATAGCCATTTGGTCAAACAAGAGGAACTCTCTGGGAGTACTGGTAATCTCTTTCAGAAGTATGGCTGTTGCAGATGGTATTTGGCTGGTCTTAAACCAGCATCTCAACCACCACATCTTTCCATTTCTCTTTTTTGAGTTGTGCAGGAAATTGCTGAATACAAATCTAGGTGTGACTTGTTTAGTCATATTAAGCATAGTTTCCTGCCAACAGTGCTCATTCCTCATGAGTGAGGAGCACATTACTGCATCCAAAGTATTGATTTCACTCACTTTGGATATCACTGAGATCTAAAAGTTGTCTTGGAAGTATGGCTCCTTTAAATTATCATTCATGTAGTGTGTGTCAGAAGGATTAAATTACAAACACGTTTTTATGGATGTATAATTTTTTAAAGTTTTACTTCATGTGAGTGTAAGGAAATCAGAATGCAGTTAAGTTAGCAGGTTGTTTAAATAGCTTGTTGTTTAAATGTTGTTTAAATATTTCTATGCAGCTTGGTAACACATACATTCAAGAAAGCAATGAGTTACTCAAGTGCTAATTTGATTTTTGTTATACATTTTAAAGTGAGAATGAAAGTCACAAATTCATGCTGTGTGAAGTTAAGCACAAAGGTCTGCAGAATCAGGGCCCAGACAGAAATGCGATATATATAAAAGCTGTAGATATATTCCAGACACAGTTGTTAATCATTGCACGCAGCAGCTTCCACTTACAAGCAGAAAAGGAAAAAAGGAAAAAGCAGTAGTTTGGCAAGGCGTGAAGAAAGTGGCACATTTCTGAAAGGGAGGCATCGATAAGGAAATGATACATTATTCTAGAGGGAGAGAGAAAGAAGGGTTTTGGCTGTGTAAGTAGACATTTAAAAGTGTATTATACCAATAATTTAACCTTCGTATCTGCAGAAGTCAACAAAGCAATGTGTGAAGCTTTATATAAAAAGCTATTAAGTAACATATTTGAGTATTTCTAAAGAGACTGGAGAGTCAGGGAGAACACTAACTACTGCTTCTCTGAGAGCTGTGTTCTCATAGCTTGAACTGCAACAAATCCTCAGGAGCGTCAGCCTAGATCCGACTATGCTTGGGTTTCCAAAAAGGAGGGGACAGGGTTTTTTTTACTGGGCAGTTGGCCTTTTTACCTGCGGATACCGCGTGCTGTGGTGTGCACATTTCTGCCCGTGCTCCGTGGCATTATCACAAAGCTGTGCCATTTCCAGCCCCCCTGTACCTTTCCATCAAGCTGCACGGAGCAGCTGCAGCCAACCTTGGAACAGATCACTTGTGCACGCAGTAAAGTGTTCCTGGCTCTGGCAGTCTGCTTTAGAGGAAAGAGAAATAAATATCTTTATAAATTTCAAGATAGACACTAAAACAGGTGCAAAAGGTTGAAATAATGGCTAAGCAGTCGGCTCTGACAAAAGCAGTGACCTCTATCAGCCTCATAATAAATTTGTGATAAAAGCAGATGCTCACAGATTTTTGAATCTAACACAACTCTCTCTCCTTATTCACTTTGGCTCTGGTTCTGCCAAGATGTGTGATGGTATTTTTACTCCTTGGGGGCATCATTTTGAAATGTGTGGGACTGTGTGAGGAGAAAGCCAAGAAATCAGTGGAGTCAAGGACCTTGAGACCTTTGTGTGTTTGAGCCTGTTTTGCTGCCCAAGTAGAGTGGTGATACAAAACTAGACCCTACGTAAATCGCAGGCATTTCAAGACATGATGGACACGGTTAGGATATTTCTTGGTACTGTGCTCACAGAAAAAACCTACATATTTAAAGCATGTATGTTTGCGAGCAGGATTGTCCCAGAGAGTAAAACGTTCCACTCTGTGTTTTCCCCACGATCTGAAGTACTCGTTTTCATTAATTGATTGTGCATATGTCAGCGAAAATGTGCTTGTTACTGGAAGTCAGATGCGTCTACAGTATTTCCTTAAAAGTGTGATTTTGCAGTTCATTTTTTTGAATGTAAAGTGTGAGCTGCCTCCTGCCGCACATGCCCTGTGGTGAGTAGCAGTTCACCATGCTCACTACTTCTCAATTGAGCC